GAGAAGTGATTGGGCCATGGTCATCTTCCCGGGAGGTGATTTCTCATTTTCTATCTCTTTGTTTCTCTCTGTCTTTCTGGCGAACGCAGGTGCCCTAAAGAAAAAAAAAAAAAAAAAAAAAAAAAAAAAAGCCCAAATAAATAAAAACAAAACTCTCTCTATAAAAAAGAACAAAATGATATTAATAATATTGGTCTTTCATTGAATTGAATACTTCTTGTGAAACAGAATCATTCCAGGCACATAATATACATGATTCATAGAGGGAGTCCAATGTGTACATCTACCTGTAAGATGGAATTAACCCAGGGAGTGATATACTGTCAGTGACCAATTGCAAAGATAGCTACCAAGCTATTGTTAAATCATAATCAGCGTCAATTCATGTTAGACCACAATGATGTCGCCAATTAAAATAATTAATTCACTTGAATTTTTCTTTGAGAGCAAACTCAAAGAGCTAAAAGCAATTTTCTCGATAAGAAAAATGACATTTTTACTGTATGTAGAACAAACACACACACATTCACAGTTAAAATGACAAACTTTATCAAAATCACCAGTATTGAAAAAAAATATGAAGACAAATGTAAATGTTATAATTGTTTAGAGGAATGAGTTTTGGTGCACCGTGTAAGTTGACACTTTACAAAGGTATTGTTGCTTAGGTACATAAAAATAGACTTTATTCTTCATATTGTAATGTCATGTGAGAATAGAACTCTGATTAGAAGGTAATTAGTTTAGAAACCTCTTTTTTTGTTTATTCTAGGATACCAGAAGGATTCATAAAACATCAGTGCATAGCAATGCAGTTATTACAATGATCTATTTGGGGAAAAATGTGCACCTATCTTATGATAACCCAGACTTTCGGGATGAAATAAAAGTTTATCAGCAGCATTGTGGCGGTGAAAACCTTTGTGTCTACAAAGGCAAACTGCTTGAAAAAGGTACACATAAAATAAAAATTTTTTAATTGCTTAGAGTTGATGCTATAGATAAGCTGTTGTTAATATAATATCAAAATGACTTCAATCACTTTATTTACGTGTATCCAGGGACTTATAAACCAGATGCCTAAAAGTAGATCTAGATTTACTGCTCCATGATTGAAACTGAAGCAGCAATTTCTCTTGCAGATTGTGGAAGAGAGAATTTGGAGTGATTTAACCCGGTAACAGATTAATTTGGGGATGGAGATATATGATCGGTAAAATGTTGACCGAATAAGCTGTCCCCCAAATTACAAGTTAACTATTTGGCTTGCCATAGTGAATTATATTGTACATTATTCTAAGAAAAAAATACCGCATTGGCAATTTGTTCTTTAGTGGAATGTTGAGATAATATCACAAATCCAATAAACTCCACAGTGAATCACACCTAAATAACTTGATGTGGAATTTGGTTAAATGGCTTTTTAGTACATTTCTGCTTTCATTTGATCATAAATCCGTGTTTTCAGCATAAGATATTTTCATCTCTAATTTAGGTTTTCATTTATTTAACTGTAGTGCTTTTCTCCAATATTTAGTTCAGTGGCACAGCAATTAAAAGGAAGAGTGTTTATATAATTATATTTGTTACTCCCTTGCTTAAGAAATTCTGTTCAGTAACACTCTTTTTACTAATTAAAGGAATAAGGTAATACTGTTTTTACTAATGTCTAGAAATCTTTATATTCAGATAATCCTGATATAGGCTTAGGAGTTAAGGAAGGAGTTGAGAGCAAACAAACATATCATTCTTAGTACTGGCCTTACTGATTTCTCTCATTAATCCAAAGCAGTGGTTATTAATTTTAAAAATCTTCAAATCATTGAAGAGAAACTATATTTACATATTTATGGGTTACATATTTAAAACTTCACAACATTAAAAGAAAGAGTAAATATTAGGTTGTCAGGAAAGTTATGACAACCTAATAACTTTTTATTTATTTTTCTATTTTTCTATGCAAACATGTATTTTGACTTTCCCCATGACCCGATCCTTGAATGTTAATTTAAAAACATTTTTATTTATTCTTTGTTATTTTAATTTGCTGTAAGACACATGCACTCACCAAAGAAAAAGAGAGAGAGAGAGACAAAGTGAGAAAGCAAGCCCCCAGGTGTGGGACCCAAACTGGGTAAGCCGTGTGGGAGTCCAGTACCTTAATCACCATGCCACCTGTTGGTCCCTTGAATGTTAGTTTTAACATAAAGTAAAACATAATATGATGCTTAATCATGTGGAAATTATTTTCACATTTTATATGTCTGGTGGAATTGTAATGTATTTTGTTTCATTTTGCCATAGCTTTCCAAAATGTATTCCATTTCGTAGAGGAGGAAAATGAGAGGAATCCAGAGGTGGTGGGGCTTTCCAAGCTCTGGGCAAGTCAAGCACAGACCTTGGTCTCCCAACTAGGAGCAAAGCCCTAGTCAGTTTCAGTGAGCTCCAGTCAGCTCTTCTCTGTAGCAGGGTTTTCTACATTTTTATAATACAAGGGGCATAAAACCCCTAATGATAGTGGCACAGATACATACAGTTATTTTTCAAAAATATAACTTTCAGCTATTAATTTAGGAGAATTGCTTATTGAAATTGGAATTAACATAATGACATTTTTCTGGGTCTTAGATCACACTTAATTCAACAAAATGCATATATAATGTCTATTTAACTACTGGAAAATGTGGTAGATACAAATGGAAAAAGAATGAGGCTTAGCTGAATTATCCTCGGGTAGATGATGTACACTGTGATGATGCTGCAGAACTAGAGGTTATGGGAGAAAGGGCATTACCAGGCTTGATGTTATTTTGCGTAAGTATGATCCTGAGACTTTTAGTTATGGCATTGGACAGTCTTGAATAATAGGATGGGATGGGGTCTTAAAGATTGAATCCTGTTCACACAATAATTTTGTCTCAGCTTGCCCTGATTGCCAGAAAAGTAATTATTCAAAATTGAAAAGTCGGGTGGCTCAGAGTTGACTTGTGGTTCAGCAATCTTAGCAATTTAGCTGGACTGAAAAGAATCTGCCCTTTTTACAAATCAAAGCTGTGCATGATCCAGTGAAATGTGACTAGATTTTTTAGAAGGTTTCTGTTAAAAAAAAAAAAAAAAAAGTAAGGGCATTTAACATTATACTTGGAGCAGTCAAGTTGTCAAAATGTGGCATTTGCTGATTTGTCTCTTTTTTCTTTTTTCTTCATGAGAAATAACAATAAAGTTAATTATTTTGGAATGTGGCAAGTGCATCTTTTATTCCCACAGTAATTCATGATGTCTTATAGTCTGACTTTAGACTTCAAGTCAGTCACAAGCTGATTGTTTATTATAAATATACACCTACAGAAGTCACTGAATAGTTTCTGCTACTTGTAAAGAGTAGTTTCTTCAGAGGCATTTTTATTTACCATGTTTATATTTTCAAACAAGACAAACCTTGGCCTCTTGGGTTCATGCAGATGCAAAGAACAAAGTAACTTTTCATCTGGCCCTCTGAAAATCCCTTCCTTTACTGCCCTGTTTTCTTGTATTTCCATAACCAGATCCTATTTCACCTATTTATGCATTCCTCCTTACTCCCTAAGAAAGTTCCTTCCCTCTCCCTGCACATTTGCCTTTCCATGCTATTTTCTTTGTCTTTCCTCCCTTTAAATTCAAATCTTACACATCTTTTAAGATTCAGATTAAGGCTATGCAGTCTTTTCATCCAACTTCTACTATAATTTATCCTGACGGCCTATGGCTCTTAGTCTACTCTTATTTCATTTTTAGAGAAATTTTTGCTATAGGGTACATGCATTCACCAGAGAGACTGAGACAGAGAGACAGAAAGTCAGAAATCACCACCCAAGGTGGATGGCACACCGCAGTCCATTCTCCTCTTGGGATCTTGGGCATGCATGCACATGCACGTGGTGTGAGTTTTAAGCTGCCAAGTCTGGGACTTGAACCACAGTCAACTATGTGGGAATTCAGTGACATAACCACTGTGCTATCTGCTGGTCCTTTTTAGCGTACTCTTAAAACCAAATCTTTGTACTTCAACTTATATTTAGTTTATCATTTTTTTCCCTCACTATCATAAATTAATTTTTTTGTTTTAAAAATAGCTCTCTTGAAGTATAAGTACCATAAATTCACCCTCTGTACATGTCTAATTCAATGACTTTCATCAATTACGTAGAGTCATGCAGCCCCCATCACAAATCAGAACATCTCCACTGCTTCAGAAAGTTCCCTTATGTTCATGTGGTTAGACTTTACTCTCACAGTCTGCTCCAGCCAGCCACTGATTTGCATTTTTTTTGTCTCTAAATATTTTGTTTTCAGGACGTTTCACTTAAATGAAATTACACAATGGGTGGTTTGATCACAGATGCATGTGTGTGCCCCACATGTTTCAGGTTGACCTGAGAACTGAACCTTCAGTCTTCTATGTGGTTCCAGCATTGCAGAGCGGTATCCTACCTCCTGTGCCACTGCCGCTGGGCCAAGGAGAAGTATCATTAGCAATTTTTAATTCATTCTCCAAAATGTGATCTTTTGCCATTAAGTGTCTCAGGGTCGTCGTACAAACTGAAACCAAGTGTCATAGCACAAGCTTAGTCAATGGCCAAGGAATGGAGAATCTGAAGTCAAACTTAAATTGACTTCTCACAGGTCTTGAGCTGCAGAGTTTTAGATACAACAAAGGGAGTAATGAGTGGACAGGATAGGGAGGAGTATTTTGAGCCTGGAAAATGCAGTGATTTCCCAGAACTTCAAAACCCGCCTCCTTTTTCTTCTTATAAGGTCATTTCCAGGGGTTACCCAAGAGATTGTCAATACTTAAGAGGCTAGTATGGGTGTCATTTAGTACACTAAATCACTACCATGAAGGTGTAATGAGTTTGAAGGTCAGTCAGTGATCTTTCCAGATGCCAAATTGGTTCTGACTGATTCAGGATGGGATTTTCAGTGGCAGCCTTAATATTTGCATGCACCCTGTTACTTAAGGAAAAACACCATTTAGGGAGAGGTTTGGGTGTGGTATGAGCCCCAGCTACATGGTGGGTAACAGTGTTACGTGTCTTGCTCCTTTCACTCCTTTCACATTTTTGAGAGTCATGCATTTATAGTATCTATCAGTAGTTTTTCTCGCCTTACGTTGCTGAATATATTCCATTACATGAATGTTCAAGTATTTTTTTATCCATCCCCTGGTTGATGGAGATTTGTAATGTTTCCAGTTTGGAACTAATAAAAATAATGCTGTTATTTGTATATGTATTTGTTTATATCATACAAAAATGAGTGGCATAGACATATGTTATTTTTTTCTTTTTCTTTTTAAAAGAAAAAAAAGTAATAAGTTTATTTGTTTATTTATTATGGAAGAGCAAGAAAGAGAAGTAGGCATCTCCAACAGGGTCTTCTCTCTACAATCTACTCCCAGTCTCAGCCAGCCCAGACCACCAGCACACATGCACACAGGCACATGTGTATGTGTGTGTGTGTCTGGTATGCTCAAGGAGATGCCAGGATGGGATCCCAGGGCTTTTTCCATGTGGGTCCAGTTGTATTAACCCTGCACTACTACCTAGCATCTGTAATTTCTCTTGATTACATTCCTAGGAATGGTTTTAATTCCTTTTTTCCCCCTAAGTTTAGGTTGCGTTGTTCTTTCTTTATATGCCTTTTGTTATTGTTGTTGTTGAAAAACTGTATATTTTAGACAGTGTATTACTATGAATTTTGGACTCAACTTTTCCCTAAAGAAAATTATTGTTTTGTTTATTTGTTTGTCTAGTCATTTATCTAGACTTAGTCTGTGAAATTCAGTCCCCCCTCACCCGAGTATATAACCAGCTATTTTGTTCTCAGATTTTTTAAAAATTCTATTTTAATTCTAATTCTTCAGGCTGGTCTTTTAAGGTTGTCTGTGTTTTCATAGTTTAGTAATCATCTCAGGATTTACCAGAAGGTGGGCCCAAACACCTTGATCCAGTAAAGCCTCCCTCTCTGCCAGTGGATCTCTTTGTGGGAATATTAGGTATTAAGTTCTTGAGGATGATGTTACAGATGTCTCCCAGACTGTATCTGGATACAACAGAAATGTATTCTCTCACATATTTGGAGGACAGTCCAAAATCAAGATGTGGCTTGAAAAGCTTTAAGGCAGAATCCTTTCTTGATTCTTACAACTTCTGGTGGTGCCTGGAAATCCTTGGCTTGTTGCTCTATTATTTCAATCTCTGCTTCTCTCTGAATGTGGCATCTTCTTCAGGTATCGCTATGTGTGTCCTCTTTTCTTCTTATAAGGTATTGGATTAAGGGCAAAATTTAAAACTAGGATGATTTCCACTCAACCTTTTACTGATTATATCTGTGAAGAACCTGTTTCCAAATACATTCACATTCTGAGATTCTGGGTAGCCATGAATTTTGGAAGGACATGATTTAACCTATTGCTGTGGGTTCAGGAATGTATCTATATTTCAGGCAATTTTCAAGTCTGTTCCAACTTCTATTTTCCACTAGTCGCTCTGTTGTTTCCTCTGTACATAGGTTGGAGACACATAATAGGTTGGGCTTACTCTGATCCATGTTGCTTCTAGTTAGTTGGAGAGATATAGACAGCTTATCAAATGCTCTACGACTGTCTGTTGCCTGTATATCCCTGTTAAATTTTTGACCTGTTGCTTGCTCTAATTAGAACTACAGTCTCAAGCTAGTAGAACCTCTGACCTTCCGCATTAACTTGCCTCCAAGATTTCTACTTATTACTGGTAAAGCCATGGGGTTGTTTTGTTTTGTCATTCCTTACAGACAGTGTAACTGCTGGTTACTTATGGCCTGCCCTACCCTATTAGAAGTACTGTGATGAAATAGTGGCAGGTGTGGGGGATAAATAATCCCAAGGAAGAATGCCACAGACTTTCACCGTTTTTACCTAAATTTCAGTAATTTTTCATGAATTAGCGTTGTTCAGGTTAAGTCTTTGATTTGTTTTCAGGGATAAAATTTTAAGGTGAGAGGATGTGGTGACCTTATTCAGAATAAGTCAGTTGTTAATACAATATGTTAATTTAGCCTCTTCTGCTAAATTATAACTTCTTGAGAAAGGAGACCACATTTGATATTTTTTCCCTATTATTGCTTTATTTTAGTGCCTAAACAGTGCTACCCACTGCAGGTAATAATGAATAACTGCATTTTACAAACAGTATAAAATGCTTTCTAATAGTGTGCATTATATAATCTTTAAGACTGCTCTGTGAAGCAGAGCATCTGCTCTTTCCCACCCCATCCTTTCCATTTTATATACGGGAGTTCTGAAATGCAACCAAGTTAGTAACTTACTAAGGGACACTTACTAATAAGCGAAGGTCTGGGTCATGGACCAGAATTTTCTCATTTCTGGTCTATATTCTTTCCACTATTTCATGAAGAAACCATCAAGTCAGGATTGGAAGGTGTATTTTCAGGTGTATACTTGAAACTGAATAACAGAGGAATAGAGGTTTACTTAGTTCATTATTTGGAAGTCCAAGATCCAGGGGCCACAATATGGTGGAGGGCAGGAATG